TCCGCTACCCTTTCAGACAACTCCTTTCGCCCCTAAGAATATCATAGTAAAATATTAAATATTATTTAAATTATTAATTTTGTCCGTAAAATATGTGTAATTTTAATAGTGGGTTTAATAATTATAAATGTGAAAAAATTTGTTAAAAAATAACTAAAACTTTTAACAAAAATAGGTAGATAGACAAATATTTTAAAATTTGAATCCGTATACATGCATTGATTCTTTTTAACAATATTATTCATTGTATCCATTGTATATGTGAAAACAAACTAAACCTTATTTAAAAAACTTTAAAATGTTTTCAGAACAATAGAAAAAATAATACTTCGTCGAATAACGAAATAATTACTTATATAATAAAACTGCAGGGAATCTAAAAATTAAATATAGAATGTGACCGCCATTTTGTACCAAGTTACAACTGAAACAAGCGTTGATAATTTAAAATTCAAATTCCCTAAGGGCTTGCTCTATTTAGTAGAACATGTATACGTGTAATAGTGATGAAGATGCATCCGAACTGAGCATGCGGAACAGGAAGTCGTCGCGATTGATTGATGATCGGCTGTCGATTGATCGAGAAACATGTGCGCTCGTTAACGTTCGATTGTCGATATATGCACGTGTGATCGGTAAAATCGCGGAAGGATTATGAAGTGAATATACATCTCTCTGGCCGTGTAATGTGTTTTCGTCCGTATATGCGTATTCACGTATAATAATATTATAAATGTTTAAAACGTGTAAGTGTTTGGGTTCCATATTCATAGATTATATAACACTTGTGTTTTTGCAAAATTAATAACAGATAATAAAACCGAATTTATGAATGCTCGCATTGTAAAAATAATAACCTTAAATTCTGGAATTTATTATGTTTATATATAATATATGCATATGAGTACTTCAGCAGCTATACGATTGTTTTACTACAGTAGGTAGTTAGGTTACTCATACACGAATCAACCACCAGCAAGTGACCTACATATTATCGCAGTATATTCAGTATTTTATTTATATGAAGGATTTTTGTGTTAAAAATATATTTATTTTTTATACTACAGTTTGAAGTAGGTACTCGCGTGTACTACACTACATTTTTGTGAAAAAAAGAAGAAAAATATTTAAATTTTGATCTTGCTGATGTTTTTATATACGTTGATGTATGTATACTTTAAGTAAATACAATTTTCAATATTTTAATTTCATTCTGATGGAAAAATGTTTTTTAATTTTTTTCTAATGTACAATGTGCTCAAAAAATTATATTTTTTAATAAACTGTGTTTGAATCTGAACAATGAACTATTAAAATAAACTTATTTAGTTCAATAGTCAATTTCCAAAACATCATTTATTCGATTGATTTGGAATGTAAAATAAATTTAAATCATAAAAATGGACTTTACTCGGTTATAGACTAATATGCCGTGAGTATCACACTGTTCATCAGTTGTCATTTGAATATCCATAAAAGAATTTACGATTTAGAATACATTATATTCTCAGGACTACGGTTGAATTATAATACACACAGTTCAAAAAGCTTTAGTTGTGGTTAAATATCCCTTCATTTCCGTACTTCAAATAACCTGAGGAATGCCTATTTCACAGTTTTTTACGGTAGTTTTTGATTTACGATTCTTTATACCTAAATGTTTCCATGATATTATTTTACTGCAATGATAATATTAATATTGTTAATAATAATAATGAAATATTGTACGCCATGTAGAACTTCTATTTATGTGCGGAAAATATAATTTATACCTAAATTTATTAAATTGACTACCGAGTTAATCCTCTGCAGATATCTCTGGCGATGACAGTGGTCTATGAAAAAAATTGTATAATTGTTTCAATATCTGTTTAATATCTTTATAAAACTAGAACTGCCATCAAGTATACCGTAATCGTATATGCAACAGATGTTAACGATTTTAATTTTTCGTGTATTATACACATTAGTTAATGCATTTATCGTTTTTATAACGCAAAAATATCATTGGTCTAATGATAATAATAATAATAATAATAATAATTTTTTCGTTATTGCATTATACTTTTATAACCATACTATAACATATATATATACATATATACGTGTAATAGTATAGTCCCTTGAATGTCACACCACACGATAGTACTCATCTATTGCACATATTATTATTATTTAATATAGCGAAGAGAGTAAACGCCATTATATATAACAATCGTAAAATACCCTACACCCAGCGCTGTGGCAGCACTATACATCTCTCTATACATAATTGTTCGTGCGCGTTATACGTAAATAAAATCGGTACAATTAAATATATTGGATCGTGACATGTTCTATGATGCGTTCCGCGATGCGTTTGCTCGCATACAGTTGCTTTTTAATGATATTTCCTCTTTTTTGAGGGGGCGAGGAAAAAAAAGAGAAACAATAAAACATTTTCTATTCGAAATCCTAAATAAAGTCGGACCTGTACACATATATAAATACATGCGTTCAAATGCATTTATACGGTGTTTTATTGTTATTACATTATCATCGGGTCCCCACCGCCGTGTGGTCTCCTCGCGCGGAGAAGCGCTTATTGCAGATACACGGATATCACGTGTGTCCCGTTAAAGGGTATTCGGGGGTGAAAAAAATAACATGGCACATTAAACGCGTGCGTGCGCCTGGTCTTCAATCGCTGGGGATACATTATGATTCTTTGACTCTACGGTTTTTACAGTGTTTTCGTGACGATTGTTTTCACAAAAGTGTATGCAAGTGCTCGGAAGCGAGTGGACGCGCATCGAAATATTTCGCGAACTCTCTAATAAAATATGTCCGCCTGCTCGGTACAATATAACTGCTGCTACTGCACATGTTACGGTATAATCTATGTGCTATTATGTATATAGTGTCCGATCGGTCACAGTGGAACTTTGTAGACAAACAAATTGAAGTGCTTATAATGTATTATACGTATTATTGTTATATTATAGTACGGCTCGTCGTTGCCCTCGTAGATTCGTGGACACTGGTCAGTGCAGTGGCCCTCTCACACGTGTGTTGTACATATATACATTTGTACGTATACACATATAAGTCGTATGGTGGTCAATTGCCCGTGTCCCTTACACAAACAATTGTGCAATCGACTCGCAGCAGACTAACGCGAATGCGAGGTGTATGCGTGTTTTTATTATAGACATATATATAAGAGGACAACTATGTACGTGTGCTCTTCATGCGATGAGGAGACACTTTTTCAATTATCCTCGTCCAACTGTCGTACACGCGTATAAACCACCGAAACGGCCCAATCATATGACATTTACGAACTGATAATAATCATATTTCTGTCGATATTGTTGTTTACGAGCTTATACACTTTTACTTTTATTCTTGTTTAAATTCACATTATATATATAAATATATAATATTTCAATGCACTGCGGACAAAATCCCCTGCGTATCGTTATAAGGTACCTATTGTGTGTGTATAGAATATTATGTTGTGTCTATAACGTGTTAAAATAAATCCTCACAAATATTGGTAGTGGCCGTGTGATCGTAGAAATAGATAATTGATTATGTTAGCATAAAGCATGCTAAAGCAGACGAGTTTATAAATTAATTTAAAGTGTTTCTGATTATAGATTATCATTTATTGTAATTATATCATATAACGTGAAAATAATTCGTTTTTATCATATTTTTCCGTTTAAATTTCATATTTAATTAAGAATTAAGTGTCATTAAAAATAATATTTTTTCACAATATCTGTTAAAAAAAGCTGTTTATAATTACTATTTACAATACTTAAATATAGTTTTTTGTTTATTTAAGCTCGCTAAATTGTCGTCAGAAAAAATGTATTTTTTTCATATCATAATATTATTCAACAGTCAATACATAATTATATGTAATAACTTTAATATATAATATAATAACTAACGTTCGATAACGGTGTATATATTTTATGTACTCTCTGTTTTCTCTCCAAATGGAATATAAATAAAACAGGAATTATGTATTCATGTAGCCAACAAAATTTGTATTATTATTGCAAAATATTTGTATTCAAACGGCAAAGTTTAATTTTTAACGAAGGGATTTAGCGTGAGAAATTTACATACGTAGGAAATAACCAGTTCACAACTGCACCACCACCACCCTCAAAGAGTGTCTGACCCGGACAACAAAAAAGCTTCAGTTTGCTGTTTCAATAACGAGGGTAAATTATTTATTTAAAAAAAAAAGAACATTAATAATAATACATCGTTGCTTTTTCGAGATTACTAACCCTTAACAAGTTTAGACTAATGAGAAAGCCACGCGACCGGCATAACGCCGTCACCGTAGAGCTTCAAAAGAATAGTATTTTTTCATTCTTCCGAAGTACTCATCATATATATATATATATATATATATGTGTGTATGTGTAAGCGTATGTGTATTTGTATGCGAGTATATGCGTATGTATATAATAGTAAATAGTTTTTATTTTCAAACGAGCTCAGCTAATCCTCTCTTTGTGAAATATTATCGAAATAGGCACAGATACAATGATGGATATTACTTATTATATACTTTGTTACTCATATATTGTAACTTGTAACTATATGTTTACGCTTACAAAGTAATCAAAGTATTGTAGCAATATCTGAAATAAAATATAAAAGATCAGTCTTTTCAATCAAAAGATCTTCTTCTTCATTAAATGATAATTGTATATACAACGTTGTGTGGTTACATTTTTTTAAGAAAAACAAAATTTTTCATTTTAATTTATGTATCGTCGCATCGAAACATATACATCATGTGTACACAATATAGTCACCGCATGTTTGTTTTGATATGCGTAAATCGTAGTAGGTTTATGCAAAAATAGCTGTAACTAGAGGAAAATAAAGTAATCTGGTCTGCAAAATAATATTCATAAATAACTATGTATATATTATAAATAAATAAAATATATATTTTCATTTGAATTATACAAACAACAAAACACGTTAACAATCATTTTTTTTTAATATACAAATGGTTCAATCATTTGCCTCAAAGAATTATATATGACAATATAGTTCAATGAATGTATTTATTATACAGCGTTCAAGTGTAAAAAACGTGTGTTAAAAAACTATAAATTATAAAAAAAATAAAATTTTAAAAGTCGCTCGCTCACTACCACGCTTTTAACATATTAAATTTATATGTACCACATATAAATGTGTAAAAGTAAAATTCACGGAGTCAGAACGAGTCTTTTAAGTAATATAATTCTCGTCTCTCATGGACGTAAAAATAATGTAATTATAAAAATAATATTTTAAGTACAAATAAAAGGAAAATTGCTTTGGTTGGTGGTGGTCTTTGACTAGAATACGGTTCTTATTTCTTATAGTTCGTACATTATAATAATTGTAACTTACATTTTTGTTTACCTATTATAATCATTCAAGTATAATTAGGTAATTTAGGTCGTAAATAAAAAATATCCGAACATTTTTTGTCGGAAAAAGAGGTAAATAAAACAAAAGAATTCGATTTTCACTAATATTCTGCACAATCGCAAATTACTCGAAAACAGTGAGCGATAAATATAGATCACAAGGTGAAATGATTTAGTACGCCACTTCGGCACCCCAAGGCCTGTACGGCTTCATCTGAGCGGAAACCGACGAATCGGATTGGTATTGTTGTTGTTGTTGTTGGTGTTGTTGTTGCATGGCTTCGTGGTAGCTGGACGGCGGCGGCGGCGGCGGCGGTGGTTGTACCGGTTGTAAATTGTGCAACTGGTTGCCACCGGTGGTGCTACCGTGTTGGTGTTGGTGCCGATAGTTGTCGCGTTCGCGGTGATGATGGTGGTGCTGCTGCTGCTGCTGTTGTTCGTGATGATGGTGGTGGTGGTAGTCCGCCGTGACGGATGACAGGGCGGTGAGGCCGGTAGCGTCCGTGTCTGCCGCAGACTTGATACCGTCCGCGGCCGTTGCCGACGTCTCATAATTGTTGTTGTTGTGGCTTGGCGGCGGCGGTGGTGGCGGCACGGGCTGCTGCTGTTGGTGCGGTGACGTGGCCGACGGGTAATGATGCGACAGCGGGATGGTCGACGTAGTCGTCGTCGGTGGTAGCAGAGTTGGCGGTCCGGGTGGCCCACCATGATGACCGTACCATCCAGGCGGCGGCGGTGGAGGTCCGCTGTGATGCCCCGTAGCTGGTGACTTGGCCGCATACTCGCGTTGCGCCGCAAAGTACTGCAAGTGTGACAACAGCCGCTCGCGCAACGGGTCCCGGCCGTTCATGCCTTCCACCGACTCCAGATACCTGGCCACTTCGGCCGCGCATTCCCTGAAACCAATGTTGTGGTAGTCCATCGCGTATTTGGACGGGTCATAAGCCAACGTATCTAGACCTGTAGGACAACAAAAAAAAAACCATTAGGTTTTTACGAATAATATTATATCGTACAAAGTTATATAATTTTTTATTACGTTTAATTTTAGAAGTAATTTTTTTATTTTCTTTCAAAAACAATATCTCTCTACAATTTCACGAGCAATATACCTTTACCAATATGCTTATATATTCCCATAATAAGGTTACGTATAATAAAATTAAATGTTCGCTTTTTGATTTAGTTCTCTTACGTAGGATTTAGAAAAAAAACACTTTGTGTCTTTGCCGACGCTCACGATTTTCAGTTTGTTGCAAATAGTTTTTGCACGGAAAACGATAAAGATGGAAATGATAGCTTTTGTATCGATTCGTTATAAAAGTTATTACATGTAAAGGAGAGTTTTTATTTTAATTGAAATGTGTTATTAAAGTAGTTATGGAATTTATACAAATCTAAACATTATCTTGAATATGTTTTATAATTAAGTAAATATTTTTTCGTTATTGGTAATTTTCTAATGCCTGTTTGCAATTTTAAATATGTATTATATAATAATGATAAATTTTAATTTATCATATACACATTATAAATAAAACCAATTATGCAACAGAAAACAATGTCTGTGCAAAATACAAAAAACCAAAAGATTGATTATTAGTAATAATAGATAAGTAGGTACGTAATAATTGATTACATACCTATTTATCTTTTCTAAAAATATAATATATTGTTATGTTTGTATATCAACCAAATATGCCATTTAATTATTGTTGTATTATATAATATATTTAATTACTATACAACAATAATAAAATAGCATATCTGGTTGATATACATATTATATAGTCTTATAGTTATTTTTTATGTGAATTTTGTTTACAATTAGATATGTTCGAAAATTATACGAGCGTAATGATCTAAATTATTGATCACAATATAGCTATTAGTAATATTTGTATTGATTACATAAAGCCTAGCCATTATAAAGACATGTATTTGATATCAACACGTAAATAAATAATAATTTATTTGAGAGACTAGTGCTGTGGTTTGTACTGATTATAATATTACAGTAACATGATTTCTACGCTTTTCGAGCTTATGTACGAATTGTTTGACTCTTATTAGTTAATACATATTTTTTATTATTTTTTATTCTATTATAGACGTACTCCCACGATTTCGTTTTACGGGTGATTTACGGGTTTAGACATTATTGTATTCGGTGTTTGCGTATATACGCGCGCGTGGGGGTCGTCTAAAGTGCGATACTCGTCAAAACGGCAATGGTTGGTGGCGAATCGTGGGAAAAGGGTGGCGCTGATTCGGCGGTGGCACCGAAGGGCAGCTGACACGAAATCACGTTCTCACGGTAATAGTCCCCGCGCGCGCTGTACACCCCCATGTGACCGATCAATCGCGTTGGTTAATTCCGGCCGATAAAATTCACAAATAAACGTACTTATATAGCATACTGTGTACCGGCTGGACACGAGCCAAATCCGTGTTAAACGACCCCGAATTCACATGATAAAACCACACCTGACCGCGCACCCTCGACGTAAACGGGAAAATTAATGCGAGAAATAGATAGAATAAAAACAATTACTGTTTCGTCAATTTTTAAATATTTAAATGTAATCGAAATCGTACGAAGAGAAAATTAATGTAACAGAAGATTTACAGCATATATGCACATATAAATGCAATACACTTTCAGAGCAATGTTATTTCTTAAACACAAGCTGCCCGTTGATTCTAACGATACGGTGGTTTTTTTTTAATTTTTTTATATTTCATCGTAAAAATTATATCATTAGAATACTGTTGTTTATGCCTACGACGTGTGACAAACGAGTATTCTAATATTTTGTTTTTATGAATTGTATTGTCACACAACCGTACCACCTTGTACATCTTTAATATAATGTGTTCCACGCTACAGCGGGCACTTGTCGCAGAGGGACCGGATGCGAACTTAATAGACGTTTTTTTTTTTAAATAAATTATATAACTACTCAAGTCTGACCCTTTACCGGCTGTAAGTAGTTAGACGTGTTATACAGTTTTGAACGCCTCTATGACGGTAACGGGAAGTCGAGAGCAGGTGTACATAGATAACGAAGAAAACCGAACAATAATTTAATGCGTGTACGTATTATAACAACATTGTGAAGCACTCAATAGAAATAGAAAAGCTAATGAAAAACTGTATGCATAAAATCTATTCATTTAGGTATAAACAAAAATAGAATAGGTGCATTTTTTTCTTGTTAGAAATTGAGTAGTAATATTTAAATACTTAAAACTTAATATAAATTATGAACTTGCCAATTAATTATTAATTATTACGCGATTTGACGTATTATGCGCTACTTACAGTATTAAAAATAAAATCCTAAATAATTTTAGCTGTTGTAATACGTTTAACTACTCTAATATTATTCGTATATGTCATGCAGATTGAATGTTTACCTTTGGCGTGAATCATTTTTAAATGGTCGACTGTGAGTTGTAAAATTTCAGCCTTTTCCAATTTTGCGGAACCTTGTTTTTCATAAGCTGTTGGTACGAGTCTTCTGAGCTCCGACAGACTAGTGTTGATGCGGTCGCGACGTCTCTTTTCGATTATGCCCCGACGTTTCTTCCGGGTCAGCATGTGTGGCGTGTCTGTACCGTCTCCGGGAGAAGAACACCTGTGTTCGAAAATTTAAGCGTCAGTGTATTTGCGGGAAAATTGATTGAAAACGAAAAAAAAATGTATAAAAACTCGACTAGGACTTACGGATCTTTGCTGGACTCCTCGGAAAAAGCGTCGTCGCAATCATCGCTCTCGTTAAAATGTCTTTTGACGCCTTGATGATGTCGGGAGGCTGGTGGCGCGGGCATCGAACTCCAAGGACCGTAGCCCCAGTGAGGTGGTTCCACGGCCATGTTGACGGCCGGTGGAGGTTGATGAGGTGGCGGCGGTGGCACGGTGTCCGGGGGAGCCGGGCCTCCCCGGGGTACCACCATGCGCCATAGGTTGACGGCGGCCGGGTCGCAGTAGCCCAAATAATCGTTGTGCCGGGCGTCTTGGTACGCGGCCGCGGTGGCGGCGGACCGCAAGTCGTGGTGATGGTGGTGAGCCACTTTGACGGTTCGAAAAAACTCGGAACCGGAAATACGGAAACCGGTAAACGGTCGAAGAGAAAAATAATGAAAACGGAACGGAAGGGAAAAAAAACGTCGGCACTTAATGAATTCGTAACAGCGAACGGACGGGCGCGGGTCACGTGCAGCGTTGCA